ATTATTTGCTATAAATAATAACTGTAATAGATATGGTATATCTCTAGTATATCTTTTTCTAGACACTTATATCATATCAGAAGACTGAACATCTGATCCAGTAAATATAATAAACATATATACTAGTATCTTATAAGAATTCTTTAAAGTATTGTGAAATAAGAATATTCAGTCAAGTTTTATATTACTAGATAAAGATGCTGGAAAGATAGTAGTGACACAAGAAACTTAGTCATAAATATCAAATATTCAGCTTTATTTATAGTATATTAAGTGTATTATAGAAAAAAAATTGAGTGAGCAAAAATTTTATAGAAGTCAATATACAACTGAGAAATCTAGCGAAGCTTATTAATAATTTAGCTTTATTGATTCAATATAGCTTCCTAAAGATCAAGAAACCTGTAAATATGCTGAAGAGAAAATTAAGAAAATATTACAAATGATAAAAAAACATACTTTTTTGCATCCTTTGATATCTTTTGATACAGATTAATTTCTCATATCTTCAGAACTATATACACTTTGTATTCAAGAGACTTATTAATACTGTCAGCAAAAAAATTATGCTGCAATATAGGAATATCTTTAATATAATTAGTATAATCGTAAGGATTAGCAATTATTCACTTATACCTCATATACTAATATAATGCTAATCGCTCAGATAATAATAATTACTGAATCTAATTAGAGAGTACTTAAGTATACAATTACAATTATTCATGTCTTGATCAACTAATTCAAATACTAACATAATAATTAGTTAAAGATATGGAAAATACAGTAGTACTTTATCTAATAGACATATATTTTCCACCTGATGGAATACTTTCAAACAAAAATGATTAGAGCTTAGTCAAAGATCAATCAATAAGAAAGAAAGATATAATACATATTTAGAAACTTGGATATGTTCATATCTCATATTTCTAAATAATCACTTTTTAATGTGTAAGCATCTTGTTATGAAGAAAACCAGTTTGATATCAGATTTTTTTTCTTGCTTTGCCTTTACAAAGTACTAGTATGATTATCTATTTATCTCCTTTGATATAGATTACCATCAGCAAATTAGTATATATAATGATTCTTAAAATAGGTACACGTAAACTATCAGCATATCTATAGCATCTACAAGTAATTCTCATATCACTATTAATTAATATCAAGACTTTGAATAAAATAGAGATGTAATAAATAGAATTAGGTAGATATTTAAGTTAGGAGCATCTTTGTTGGAAGAAAATACGGAAAATAATAGATTTGTACAAGAATTTAAAAGAATAACTGAGTTACTTATACAAGAAATTAATAGATATTATGAAGTTCTTAATGCAAGGACTCAACAACACACTATGTAATGCTCTAGAGATTGATGATTGGCTTTTTGGTTATGTTGAATGCTGATATCTCACAGTTTATATGTTAGTGTGAAAAGTATTATGTTTTTTCTTCACTGAATATTAGTAATAATTTAATATATTATTTATTAAACTAAACTAATATATGTAATACCAAATATAATATTACCATTATATATTAAACTAATTCCAAAAAAGAAGATTTACATGGGTGGAAACTCCAGAAAGACAGAATATGATTGGAAGTCACATGATCTGTCATTTTTTTTCTGTTTCACTTTATTACTAATTCCATGCTATAGTGTATCAACACTCACCAGACAAAAATTTGGAATTGGGAGTGATCGATATAAATAAAGGGGTGAGTTGCATTATTATTTGTGCAATACACAAATGTCCAATTTTAATGTTCAATAGTTCTTTAGAAAGCTAAAATCTTAAGCTTTAAAATGATATAAAAAAAATATGTCAAACTCAAGCAATACTCACAGAAATTGCCAACTTACAGATTTTGAGCATGATGAGATAGTTAGCGCTTGGAGGTGTGGTTTTTCTGAATAAAAAAATAGGAGAAACTCTAGGATGACACAAATCTATAGTTCATAATATCATATAAAAATATAAAGAGTTTGGTCAAATCACAGTTGCTGTCCAAAGTGGTAGACCACTGATATTAAATGATAGAGATACCCAAAGAATAATCAATATTATAAAAGATAACCGGCAACAATCAGTTGATGAAATTACTGAAAAATTCAATACTGGTTTGGAAATTTTGGTTAGTTCTAAAACCATACGTCATAATCTTCATGAAAGTGGGTTTTTTGGTTGGGCTGGTCTAAGAAAACCTTTCATATCTGAGGAAAATCATCGTAAATAATTAAAATGATATCTAGAATGAAAAGATTGGGTTCTTAAATGGGAATTAGTAATTTAGAGTGATGAATCTAGGTATTTAATATTCCAAAATGATTCCCAGCAATGGGTTTGGCGCTGACCACATGAAAAATACGATGTTGATTGTCTTCTTTCTAGTATGAAATCAGGCAATCAGGGAATAATGGTGTGGGGATGTTTTACTTGGACCATTAATCGAAGTTAAAGGTGGAATAACCGGTCAAAAGTATATAGAAATAATGGAACAGAATCTTCTGCCATTTCTAAATGATTTGCCAGGTAGTTCTATTTATCTTTTTCAAGATGATAATGCGCCAGTCCATAGATATGGTGCAGCAAGTCAATGGAAAGAGGAAAATTTAATCACTTCACTTCCATGGCCTGCCCAGAGCCCTGATCTAAATCCAATTGAGCATTTATGGGATGTTTTGGAAAGACGAATTCGTGCACGACCAACACATCCCAAAAATCCGGAAGAATTGATGGATGCACTCGTGGAGGAATGGAATGAAATCGGACCGGAAATTTTAAAAAATTTGGTTAAAAGTATGCTGAGGAGAGTGCAAGCTGTAATTGATGCAAATGGGTATCCAACCCGATATTAAATATATGTATCGATAGCCCTACTTTTGCTGAATAAAATGATATATTTTTTATCGTAGTTTATTTAAAGAGAAGTTGAGAAATATTGATTAAAAGTCATATCAAAATTCGTGACCTACATTGCTGATCATTTCCCGATTCCAAGCTTTTGTCCAGTGAGTGTACATGTAATTAAAAAAACCGGTTATTGTTGGCCAATTAAAAATAACTTCTGTCGTATTAATTAATAACGACCTCTTTTACCAGAAAACTTACCGCTACCATTAAAGATTAGATAAAATGACGCCCGATATGTTATTGACTTCACACATTAACAGGCTAGATAAATTCTATGAAAATTCCAACTTTTGTGATATTTCGATTATTGTTGGTGAAGACGATCAACGTACTTTTCCAGCGCACTCTGCAATATTAGTAGCACATTCGCAATATTTTGCAGTAGCACTTTCTGATGTTTGGGTGAAACGAGAAACAAATAAGATGATTAGCTATAAGAAACCAAATATTGAACCTCAAGTTTTTGAAATATTGCTAAGGTAATTTCATATCAGATGTGAAATGTCACTGATATTTTTCAAGGTAATACTGAACTTTGCTTGGCTTAAAAACTTAATAGATATATTTACAGTGGAAAAATCGAGTTGCAAGAATATGGTGTTTTGACGCTTTTGGATTTATTAATCGCAGCCGATGAGTTAATTCTCGAAGATCTAATTGAATATATTCAAATTTATCTTCTTGAGTACCATTCTGTGCCTTTGAAAGAGAACTTTGCCTTAACCAACCAGATTGCGTTCAAACACAACGCTTTCGAGAAGCTTCGCAAATTTTGCATAGATATCACATGTCAAGACCCTGCTGTTATTTTCCAATCAAGCGATTTCACCAAGTTACCTGAATCAGTTCTAATTAGTTTACTCAAACGTGACGATCTTAATTTAAATGAAACCGACCTTTGGGAAAAAGTGCTTGAATGGGGAATTTCTAAAGCTGCAGATGCTGACGAAGTTGATCTGACGGAAAAATGGACGCATAACGAATTTAAACTACTTAAATCTGCGCTCGAAAATTGTTTACCATTGATTCGTTTCTTCCACATCAATTCGGTTGATTTTTATAACAAGGTCATGCCATATGCCGAAATTTTACCTGGAACATTATATAAGGATCTATTACATCATTATTTGGTGCCAGGTAGTGAAGAACACAAGGCTACTTTACACCCAGTCCGTAAAGTTTGCCCACCCATTCTTTCGCAAAATCAAACTAGTAAAATAATTGGCTGGATTAAGGAACAAGATATTAAACAGAGTTTCAAAAAATCAATTGAATTGAAGCTATTACTGCGAGGTAGTCGTGATGGATTTATGAATACCGACTTTCATCGTCTATGTGATAATAAAGGTCCAACTGTTGTTGCCATTCGCGTAAAAGATGAGGAAGCAATTATTGGCGGCTATAATTCATATCAATGGCATTCACTTAATGAAAGCTACTCGGATTTAAACAGCTTTTTGTTTCAATTTAATCCTAACGACACTCAAGCTATCAATGGAGTTCTAAGCACATATAAAAAAGGAAAGAGCGTGAGATGCTATGCAAATCATGGCCCAGTTTTTGGATCTGGTTTTGATTTAGGTCTGATTGGTCCCGATTTCATTAATACTTCGAAAAATAATTGTAGAAGAAGCTCCTATGAACCTGGTTTGTTGAGCTCTACTGGAAAAACTGATTTTGACATTGTAGATTATGAAGTGTATCAAGTGGTGTAGATGTAAGCTTCTAGTTTTGTTCTTTTATTTAATTACAATAACGAAGTTATTAAAAAATTTATTGTAACTTAAATATTTCTACTTTTATGCATTAAAGTGAACATTCGTCAAAATAACGCGATCGGGAGACTAAGTGTTACTATATCTCCATCAATTAGTAAAGTTTAAGTTTTAAGCTGGATAATCCAAAAGCTAAACAGTTATGTTCAAAACCTGATTCTAAAATTATTTTTATGTAATTCGTTTTTTAAATATGTATGATATATTCTATAGTCATCTAGTAAGCTATAACGTCTTAGACTATAATCGAATTTTTTATTTATTACGATAAGCATTGGATAATAGCGTAAAACCAATATTATTTTCAGAATACTAGATAAGCTTGTATTTCGATTTTATTTTCTTTCACTTCGAACTCTTCTTTACTCTTTGATTCATTCGATTCTTTTTCATTGCTATTTTTTGACTTTTTTGAGCAGATATGATGTCTTTATTCATACAAATGCTTTCTCTTTTTGCTTTTTGTTAAAATAAATTTTTGTTTAATATTGATATTTACCGTAATACCGTGAAATAACGAGCATGGTGTTATTTCGAAATCACATACTCTAAAAATAGCATATGTAGTCTCGAAATAACGCGCACCCCATATAGCATTAGTAAACTTAATAAGTTACATTCTTTTAATATAACACAGTGAACCCGATTCTGATTTTGTAATATAAAGAAGCATGATGGTTGGATGTACAGTAGCGGTCAAAAGTAACTGACCCCTTTTAACTTAATATAATATAAAAAAATATTTTAAAGTTTCACCCAAAAAAAATAGTACAAATTCTAATTCTTGAGATTTTTTTATATATATTTTTTGAAAATTATTGTAATTTATTCTTTGAGATTAGAAATTACATCAAGACTATTAAAATCAACTAATTTAAAAAATTGGTATACATCATAAAAATTTTATTTTTTCAAAAACAGTTTGTATCTTAAAATTTTGTCTATTAAACTATTTTTTGTCTTTTAACAAAAAATGTTCCTTATGCAATTTTGATATAAATACTACTTTTATTTATTATATTATTTTAATTTTAGTCTTAATTCTAACTCTAATTTTAATTAGACTCAAATAATTATTTTATATTTTAAATTGGATTAGTAAATTCTAATAATTTTAATGCAAATTATTAATTAATTGTATACATATATAAACATACTACTGATCAGTATTTGTATTGTTCTTTATATTGTAAAATTTTTAGAGTATTATATTGCATATATAAAAAGTTAGAGGGGATCAGTTACTTATGACCGGTACTGTACTAATTGCTCTTTAAGTTGTTCTTCTTCTTCTATTTTATCTTCATAGTCTCCAGATACTATATAATATTCATTTAGAATTTCTTTAATTGAATCATAACCACTATTCTTAGCTTTCTTTTTTTTTCTGGTTCTGAATATTTTTCTTCCAGTAGCTCTTCAACCTGTTCAGATCATATACAATCTTTATAAATATCTGAATCACAAGAAATTAAATATTTATTATAGAGTTTCACATTAATATATTCTAATTGAGCAAGTTATTTTCTTCAGAATAGAGATAGTTATTAATAGATAGTCAAGAAGATTTCTTGAACTAATACTTCTTCAGATCTATTATAAGTAACATATTGTATTTCTTCTTCTTCATTATATTCAGTAATATATTAGGCAAGTATTACTTTTCTAATTTTGTTATATTATTGATAAATATTTAACAAGTTGTCATCACTTCTCAATTTTCTAATAGTACTATTATTTTTTCACCAATTACTATGATTAAATATATATACATATTATTTAGTATAGTTGCAAAAATATTTGATATTATTATATTTCCAGATTATTCCAAAAAAGTATCTAGCTTCATCTCAAAATTCACAGTAATCACAGATAGGTAAGTTGAGTAAACAATCAGAATAATATTACTTTCCAGATTCATTTTTATCTCTTACTTCTGAAATAGTTTCACTATTCACAAAGTATTTACAATATAAAGATTTAACTATTCTTTCTTCTAGCTTCAATTTTTATAGGGCTTCACTTTTAGAAAAGAATTTTTCTTCAGTGATTGGTATCTTTTCTGATTCTTAGATATGCTCTACTTCTAACCACCAATCTTTAGAGATAAAATTATTAATATATTATTCAGAATATTCATTTTGATATTAATCCAGATAACTAAATCATCAAAATATTGAGAATATTTGTATTTGGGTGTTAGTAATTTATGATGACACTAATATTTAGTTACAGAACCTCTCTAATCAAAAGTCTATTGAGAACTTTAATAGTGAGTCTACTGGAATCTTCTTTCCAATTTCAAATATTCTTCCCAGATGAGAATGATATCTTTGACTTGTATTTCTTCTTTAAAAATTTTAACATTTCTAACTTTAGAAATTGAATTTATAGTTATATATAAAACTTTTTCAAAGTTTATATTATTGAATCATCTGGGTAAAGTATGAATCTGAATCCAGAATTTATCAGATATTGACCATAAAAAATTATGATCTTCTAGATTTTAATCTTCAATTTTGAACTCATTATCAGAAGTTTCACTAGAGGATATTTCTGTATCATCATTACTATCTTTAGGTATAGTATTTCATTATCTATGGATAAATTTGATTGACACTCTTCCTTCTTCTCCATTCCAATCAAAGATTATTATATTTTTTTTTAGATTGATTTTAGTATTAATCTTGTTTAATCAATTCATACCTATTACAAAACTATAGGTTTGAGCTTTAGTAATATTTACTTCAGTTAGAATTATGATTCTATCAATGGTAATAGAGAAGTTATTAATAGCTCCTAATGATTACTTGAAATATTTATTAATATCAGATATGGAGATATTTGATTTTTATTAAATCTTCATTTCTTATTATTTAAGAAATTCATAGCTAATAATATATTCTGATACTTCAATAGTCACAATCAAATTTACAGGAGTCTTTCTAACTTTGACTTCATATCAGGCTGAGGTCATTTTGATCTTCTGGATGAATATTATTTTTTGTTTGAGTTTTTTCTGTGATTTCTTTCTCATTCCTTTTGACATTCAAATTTTTTGTTCAAATAAGATCTTAATAAGTTATACAATGATAATATTGACTTTCTGTGATGTTAAATCTTTAAGTATATCATAGATTTCTGTATGTTTAGCTAAAATTGGAAGGTGTACCCTTCCTTTCTTTTGTTTCTTCTTTTTCAAGTTAGTCTTGTCTTCTTCAGATACTTCAGATAAAGGTTGAGTAACTTCATTTTCTTTTTCACTTTCTTTTTCTTCTTTGATCACTCTTTGCATTTTCTTTTTCTAGCAAGATAATTATAAGTTATTAGTAATGAGAAACTGGATTAGATGAATAAATTACTAGATGGATCATTATCAGATACTTGTAAAACAGCTGTTAAATTTTGAATTTGAGTGATAAGAAAAGTAATATCTAGATTTTGTGAATTATTAGATTGCTAATTATGATTTTGAGTATTCTGATTTTGTTAATTATTATTATTACTGTTATTATTCTAATTCTGATTATTCCAGTTTCAAGAGACATTCTGATTATTAGATGACTGATTTACTAGTTGGAAGTTATTTAGACAAACTCTACTGATATATTCTTTTCCTCCATAACTATAACAGATAATACCTGATCTGTCTTTAGACTGATTTCATTACTGATTGTTATTATTATTCTGATTATTGTATCTTTTGTCAATTTCTACATGATCTAATCTACTGATTAGATCTTGCAAGATTTTAGCAAGAGCACTCCATTCATTAGTTGATTAAGCTTGAGTTTGGTGATAGGTTTATTTAAGTGGATTTGAATCAGCTTTTTCTACATTTTTGGCAATTTTAATAATACTTTTCATAATATCATCAGCATTTAGATTAACCCATTTTTGAATTTCAGATTTGAGATCTTTCTTAAAAATTTGAATCTTATATTCTTCTGGATAAGCTTGTTCTGAATCTACTTTACTTCCTAATTTTATGAATCAATTTATATATTCTTTAACTGTTTCAGTTTGTTTTAAGGATTCCAATTCATCTTGTTATTATTATATCTTATAAGGCAAATGGAATTTAAGAATAAATTAGAAAGTGAAATCATATTTATCATGATTTTGATTTATTCATTCATTTAATCTAAGAGTATCACTCATAGATCATTGATTAAATCAAATAGCAGCTGGTTTCTCTAGATATTCTGTTACTATCTCAATTTTTCTGTCATTGATAATTCCTTTAGCTTTGATAACTACTTTAAAATCATGTAACTATTCAATTAGATCCTGATCATTACCCTTAAATTTACGAATTAGGATAAGGAACTTTTCTATTCTTTGTATCTTCATGAATCAAGTTAATTCTCCAAGAGCTTGAATGAGACTGTCCATTCTATCTGACATAATAATTTTTTCTTTTGGTTGAGTTTTCTGAGATTAAATTTATTTGATTATGACTATTAATTTTTCAGGATCTTCTGAACTATTACTTTCATATTCTGATTCTGTTGGCTGATTAGTTGAGGGAGTTTCAAAATTATCTATTTTTTCAAGAACAGAAAGAATACTATTCACTAGATAGATCTGTTATTCAACTATAATTTTAATTCCAAATATGAAGATATTTAATAACTTAATAATTTCTCTTTAAAGTTGATTTGGTATAAGATTTTGCTATACTATATTATCAAAAAGTTTCTGTAATAATCTGTTATGTAAGACTATATAATAATTCTGAATTCAGGTAAGAAAATTAATAAATCTTTTGTCTGAATTTTCATTGGCAGGAAAATAGTAAGAGCAGTAGTTGTATGATTTAATATAAGATAAAAATTTTCAAGGGTCTTCTCTGTTATATTCACTGAGATGTAGGTCAATTAGGAGTCCAATAAAAGAGTAATATATACTCATAAACTAATAAATTATTTAGGTAATAAGATATCTCAAGAGTAGCTAATCCTTAAAATAATAAAATAAATAATAAATGAAAATAATATAAATGAGTTGACTAGGATCTCTGGGTGGATGAGATCTATAGAAAAGGTACCAAATATTACAAACTATATTTTGGAAGGTAGATTTTATCATGAATATAGTTTATAATAAGTTTTGAGAGTGAAGACTGAATTATTTATAAAGGTAAAG